ACTCTCAGCTTGTGTACAAATTGATCAAGACTTTGATCGACTTCTTGTTTGCAAGTTGCAAGCAAATGTCTGGCCAATGTTTCATTAGGGGCCTTCACAAATAAATTCTCAAGAATAGATTTTGCTTCTGAGTATTTAGAACAGGTAGAAATATACTGATATAAGGATGGAGACACAAAGTTGCATAGCAGGTCAAACTTCGCTTTCACTAGCCCCTACCTTCGTTGCGAATCTGTCAAAACAAGAAATCCAATGTTTCCATGTAACTGAAGTTGAACTAGGATCAGCATCCAGTCTATTGGGACGCAAAAACTTGTCCATTTAAGAATGGTTTTATTGAAATAAATTGTAATATACTAAATCAATTCCTAACCTTAGAAGCAAGGCTTTATTTCAATACAACACGACTGATACACACAAGAACACAGTACAGACTGGTCACGATTCACAGACTACGATAATGCGAACACGTTTACAAATACTAGCACGATTACAAGCACGGGTAACACACAAGTTCATTTAACGATCACTCCACACACACATTTGTGTTCCTTGTTTCCAGATAGTTTAGTTTCTTTGTTTCTCGAAGGGCTGGCGATAGACTTAGAAATAGAATCATGTGTGTGTATATATATATATATATATATATATATATATATATATATATATATATATGCGACCAGCATTCCCATTTATTTCATGTGGCCTATGATAGAAAAAGGTTCACCACCCTTTCTATACCAAATCCCTCGAAAATTAAATGGATGCTGGCCACATAAAACCTCCAGGCATTTGATCGCAGCAGCGGATGGAATGTCCCACTACTCTAGGAAATGTAAAATCTTAAAAGAAAACTAATACTAATGATAAATCAGTAGCTTGAAATAAAAAGCAACTCACAAAAACACAAATGTCTTCTTATTTGTTTTTGTCAAATATTTGTATTAATTTGTGTTACAGTTTGTTGGTTTTTTTCAATTTTGTTTGTAGACAAAAATCAACGAATTAATCTTTGTATCTTTTTTTTTTTCTTTTTCGGGTGGGACGCGGAGGATTTCCTCCATCAGTCTACGGTGTATCCGGTGTACAAAATGCGGAAGTATTGATTAGCTATGGATGTTAAAGAGTTCAATATTATCTGGGCACTTTTTTTTTTTTTGTAGCCCTGCATAATCACATTGCAAAGCACGCTTGAAGCATAAAGTAATTGATATTATTTTGTTAGCAACAGTGATCTCTTAATCTAGTGTCCTTGACATTGTTTTGTTTATTTATCTCAAAATTTCTTTATACTTTTTTTTATTACGTTTTCCTTTTGTTCCCATTACATCGCCTCCAAACTTCTCCATATTGCTTTATTTTCTCTTCCTGTATTGAAAAAGAAAGTAAAACATATCTTGAAAAATCCAAATGTTAACAATGACAATCAGTTAATTGAGTTCAGTTTAAGGAAGATAATGTCATATTTTATGAAGCCCTTTGTTTGTTATATATATATATATATGTATATATATGCTGTGGTTTTGACCTGAAGAATGTGTTGGTAATGCAGAGCTTATGGTATGCGCAGAATTCAAGAAGTCTTTGTCCGTTCTCATTCGTCCTGCCGATTCCAAAAAGCCCCAAGGCAGTCTGGCCACTTGCCCAGGTAATGTGGTATTGCATTGAAGTCGCCTAGAATGACCATGTGCTTTTTTGAGGAATAATCTCAATGGCTTCCCTTGAGGTCTTCCTAGAACTTGTCTTTGACCTCCTGAAGTGAACATAGTGTAGGGGCATAGGCACTAATTAGACTGACTTTTCCAGATGTAGTCATCATACTTATGCTTAGTAGCCGCTCCGAGCCACCAACTGGAGGGACTATCATGGGAAGAAGACTGTTCTTGACAGCAAAGCCCACACGATGTATTCGAGTCTCATCCTGTGCTTTTCGTTTCCAAAAGAAAATGTAATCAGCCTCGCTGAGCATGCCGTTTTCGGCCAGTCGGGTTTCTTGCAGGGCTGCAATGTCAATATGTAGCCTTTTTAGCTCGTTGTTTATGACTGCCGTCTTTCTTGCATTGTCAACCTGCCGTAGGTCATCAGTGAGACCAGGACACATTGTCCTGACATTTCAAGTGGCCAGTCCCATGACAGGGATTTTGTTTTTCAGTTTATTTTTTCTTCTTTTGTTGCTTGGTGCAAGTTTCCAGCCTACTTGTGGTTTTAAACTAAGCTCTAAGCACCCATTAGAGCAGGCAGGTTGTGGCAGATCAGAACCTAACTGACTGGGGGCTGCCCAGGTTGAGGCGGGCGGTAGCTGATCAGTGAGGCGCAAAGACCTCTTCCACCGTCAGAGACAACCCGTGGCGTCCATACATTATGCCCATCAAGTTGGAGTTATAACCTGTAATTGTTGTCTCCCGTGTTGTTTTAACAGCTTTGCAGCAGCACCAGAGTTTTCTATCCGGGGCCCATTCCTGGGCCTTAGATAAAGAGCTCATGGGTGGCCCATGCGTCATGATCCCTTTAGGAGTATTTTATAGATAATAGGAGCTTATCCCCATTTGACACCCCCTGGCCATGACAACCTTTGAAACCATAGAAGACTACGCTGGAATGGTCATGTCACTCGCATGACAGATGGTAAAAGGAGGTTAAAGAAGGCGCGATCGAGAACCTTCTGTTGTGTAGAGATTATTCATAGAGATAAGACGTATTTTAGTTTTGAGTTAGAACTTGTAGTGACAAGTCTTGTATTTTATTAGATCTAGTATTAATTCCAATATATTTTATTATTCGGCCTCGAAAGAAGATATTTATTTTGATACAGTTTACTATTGTAATTACTGTATATACAGTGATTCTTAGTTGATGAATTAAAGTTCTGTATTTATATTAAAAGGATCTTCGTTTATTTAATCTCTAGGGTAGCATTTACATCTAGAGATATACATCTACAGAATCCTCAGCATCACAGGTACTCTGACTTCAAACCCCCGCTGCCTTGCGGTACTAAGGCTTCAGGAGACAACCAAGAGGAGAAATCAAGAGTGAAGCCCCTTAGGCGTTGGTAGTATCAACTATGAAATTCCCTCCGGCAGCTTCTGCAACTGAGTTGGTGCCAAATGTAACGCGATGCGTTCCTTTGGATCACATTAGCAAGGTCGTGAGAGGAATCACAGTTACAAGATATTACAAGATTATTAGCACCCCTGACAAATGTCGGCAAAGATCAACTAGGAATTCAACAAGAGAGAAACTCACAAACTGTGACATCTGGCTCTTAAACTGTGACACCTGGTAATGTGCTCATTTACGGCTTACGTACTGTTAAAGTTGAGATTAGTGTGAGTTTATAGAGCTTAGTATAAGGCAGTGAGGCATGAAATACGGCCTGCGGGCCAGATCCGGCACGCGACGTGGTGATGTCCAGCCCGCCGAAACATCGGACCAAATTAAAGAAAAATCACACCCAAAAAAAGGTTGAAAAATATATGTTCCTTTGTTAGGGCAGTCCCTCTCTCTCTTCCATGGATCTTATTCTCTGCTCTTCTAATATTCATAATGGGTTTTTTTTTAGGCGAATCAACAATTATTATTTATTTTCTGCAATTCCTCTGTTTTGATCTAGCCGTATTTTTTACCTCTGAGCACAGGGCATAGCTGCTGCATCATTTTATATCGTCTTTTGATATCAACGCAGGTACCATACCATTTAATTTGTGTGTGTGTGTTAATTACATAGGAGATCTAAAGAAACCAAATAGAAGACTCTGAATCTAAGACTTCCATGAAAAGTTTGGACTAATCTAGACCTTTTTTTGGTGGAACTTGTTTGATTTTCAAGCTGTTTGCGGCTGCTTTTAAAAGGACATAACGTCAAACGGTATTATGAAATGAAACACATTAACAAAAATACGGTAGAATTAAAAGTTTCAGCTGCGAAGAAAAGATTGCTAAGAAAATATTTAGGCCTACTAAGTAGAAACAAGAAAATGAGTCGACGTTCGCCGCACGCTACAGAGCTGCTCACTTTTAATGACGTGCAATGAAGCCATTTTTCGACGGCGAATGCGTAACAAGTATTTGCTTTTAATACTGATAGAAATATGTAGAATGCAGTTGAAGCCGTTCAACTTTCTCGCATTACATGTAGAAGAAGGTTAGGGGTGAAAATCCGCATGAAAACTAAGAGATAGAGCAGCTGAGTAGGAAATAGGTTTCTTTAGTCTCACAGTTATTATCTTCCCCTGTGGGTTCCAGTTCAGAGCCAATAGTTTCTCTTACTTTCGTATTGTTTGGGCAATACATTGGCGTCTTTTTATTTCCTGCTCTCTTCGTGTTTGCTGCCATCTTTCCAGCAGATTGTAGCTGAGATTAGGTTTGGCTATTTAGCACTCACTAATTTCGTAAAACATTTGTTGTTAAGTGCCTGGAGCTTGTCTGGATTGCTATTTGGAACTCTCTGTGTCTGCGCGAGACCCATCGGATCGTCTGCCAGTAGGTGATTGCCCGCGTCACTTCGCCTTGCGCCGCCACTGCGCTAGCGAAATATTTTTAGATTTCTAAAACTTGTTTCAAATTGAACACGTGTTATATGCTGACAGAAGATCAAGATTGGCGCTTCTACTTTTCAGTAATGCGAGATTAACTTTTAAGATCTCCAACTGTCTCGATAGAAGTCCACAATTGGACAGACCGGTACGATTTGCTGATGTTACCTTATCGTCAACCCAGGACTGAGGCCAAACAGCATTACATTGAGATCATAAGGAGTTTTGAGGACTATATATAATCTAAGAATGATTATTCTTTACAAATTGTCTGGTTTGGCGATAAAGCTTAATGACAAAACGACTGCCGGGGCTCCAACAGATATGATTTGTTTTATATTTTTATTATTGCATCACATTAGATTAGAAATTGGGTGAAGTTTACTGTGCATAAAAATTGTTAAAAACATGTGTCAAGAAACCAAACAAAAAGGTTTGTTAAAAAAAACAACAAGATGTGACTCTGTCCAGTGGATACACAAACATTTAATGGATGACCAAATGTAAGAGTACATACGAACCAATACAAAACTTTATTACATTCAGTGAACAGTACAAAAAACAAAACAAAATCCTATATCACAAAAAATCCACAGAAATACCCAAAAGTAGTCCATGTGTCTGTTGTAATTAATAAATAATACAAAATGTCAAACAAGCGCCTAGGTTTAAATGATGAAACATTTTCCAACCAACAAAATATCGTCTTAATGCTGATGATGTCTTAACATAACAATACTAGAAAATGGGATAGAGTTAAAAATACTGTAACAAATGAGTAATAAAAATAGTAATCCGTAAGAAATGAAATCTAAACTCATCTAAAGATAATACGCTAGCTACAACACATTGTCTAAGTCAAACATACGTCTATTCAACATTATGTGAGTCTACGCTCTGGATGGCTCTCGGACTGGAAAGAACCTGATAGCAAAGAAAGAAAAAGCGGGAGAAGGGGGGGGGGGGGGGCGTCAAATTTTGGTCTGTAGCTTCCTGCTCTTCACAAACACCCTAGTGACACTGTCTGAAGGGGGAAAAGTAAAATGGTCTGGGTTGGGAAGTGTTTTATTGTTTAGCTCGAGTTTTTAGAGTTTACGTTTGTAACTAAAAACTTGAATGTACGAGCCTGGGTAATACATTGTATAAAATAAACGGAATAGTTCTGATATATGTGCTACTGCATTTTTTATGTCTCATCTCAATGTTAACAACTTTCAGCATACAGCTCAATCAGAAACTTAAATCCTAGTCCATCAATTTGTGTTTGTCTTGTTTGAACTTTAACTCGATAGAACTCGTTTTTTTCTTGTACTGTTCCTTCCATACGTACTACCTAAAGTCTTACCAAACACAAGGTGTTCATTTTGTAAAAAGGCTTGCACAATGGATTGAAAAATCTTATGCGGGATCAAGTTTATAATGGAGGTGCAACATGTATCGATTCCAGAATAGGAATCGCCTGCACAACCACTCTAAATACAGAGAAGAAGAAACAGGAATCTCAAACCTGAATCTTTGTTTGTAAAATGTTTGACATGTTTCGGATGTTCCTTCAGAGTTGAAGATAGTTTACTTCCTAGTCCAAACCTCCCGCAGGACGACGGGGGATGGGAGCGGGCAGGGTTTGAACTTTCGACCATCGATAAATCTGAACGACAGTCCAGCGCGCAAACCGCACGACCAGGCAGCCATCCATCATTGTCTTGGATATACATTGAAACACAATACAGAGAGGAAACCAAATCATATGTATGACAATATCTTAGACTTACTACTGGAAGCCTACATACCAGACTTACTACTGGAAGCCTACATACCAGACTTACTACTGGAAGCCTACATACCAGACTTACTACTGGAAGCCTACATACCAGACTTACTACTGGAAGCCTACATACCAGACTTACTACTGGAAAACAACATACCAGACTTACTACTGGAAGCCTACGTCTCAGACTTAATATTGGCACTGATTTAAAATGTAAAAAACACTTGTCATTATAACAAGAAAATACAACAACAAAAAAAAAGAAATTCGAAGATTGGATACGAGGAACAATAAAAGTTCTTTTTTGAAGATCAGGTCTATTTAAACACATTCTCTCCACCAAGGGCATAGACTTCACAGGAAGCCAGAAAGCAACATAGACCTAGATCTAGTTTGTAAGGAAGCCACTAACATTGAGAGATTCATAGGAAGACATAGATGACCACTAAGTCTATGAGTACTTTTAAAAAAGGCCACAAAGTATTATAGACTTAACAAAAAGCCATCTAGGCATCAAGACGGACTGAAAGACCATATCGATAAACTAAAGAAGCCATAAAGAAACAATACACAAGTTCTTCATTGAGCTGGACAACAACAAAAACCATGATGGCCGTCTTAAGGTACGCAAACACATACACGAAAGGAGCATGGGATTAAGAGAGAACAAAAAAAAAGGTGAATGTCCTTTGGCATATGAGGGAAGCTCAGTGGATTGTGTTCCTAGCCTGTAGTGCTAATACGTTATGCTAGGATGTATTGCTAAAGCCTGTATTGCTAGTACGTTATGCTAACCTGTATTGCTAAAGCCTGTATTGCTAATACGTTATGCTAGCCTGTATTGCTAATCCGTTATGCTAGCCTGTATTGCTAAAGCCTGTATTGCTAATCCGTTATGCTAGCCTGTATTGCTAAAGCCTGTATTGCTTATACGTTATGCTTGCCTGTATTGCTAAAGCCTGTATGGCTTATACGTTATGCTAGCCTGTATTGCTAATCCGTTATGCTAGCCTGTATTGCTAAAGCCTGTATTGCTAATCCGTTATGCTAGCCTGTATTGCTAAAGCCTGTATTGCTTATACGTTATGCTTGCCTGTATTGCTAAAGCCTGTATTGCTTATACGTTATGCTAGCCTGTATTGCTAAAGCCTGTATTGCTAATCCGTTATGCTAGCCTGTATTGCTAAAGCCTGTATTGCTAATCCGTTTTTCTAGCCTGTATTGCTAAAGCCTGTATTGCTAATCCGTTATGCTAGCCTGTATTGCTAAAGCCTGAATTGCTAATACTTTATGCTAGCCTGTATTGCTTATACGTTATGCTAGCCTGTATTCCTAATCCGTTTTGCTAGGCTGTATTATTAGTCTATATTTCTGACCGTCTTATTAATCTATATTGCTGGTCGGTATTGCTAATCTGCATTGATTGTCTTTGTCTCTGGTTTGTATTGCTACATTGCTAGCCTATTCCAGAATGTAGTCATTGTAGTGTTACGTTGCTAGCATATGCCAGAATGTATTGCTACGTTGCTAGCATATGCCAGAATGTATTGCTACGTTGACACTCTTCCATAATGACACATTCGTTAAAAAATATACATACGGGTACACATAGGGCAATGCGAGCCTGAAGACATATTTCCCTTTTCAAAGTCTGATGCTGTAACCAAATAACAGCTTTTCCTGTGACTGGGGTTATAGCGTATTGCTTAGCCTTAGGCTACTTCAATTTACAATAAAGGCAATATTTTAATATAACAGTGCAGAAGATCTAGCCTAGTACTACACATAACATAGACATTGAAATGTGTAGGCTGGTCAATGGTCATCGAGACTATTTTTATTCACTCATTTCTATGCTGTCTTTTTCAATAAGCAATCTTAAAGGAGAAACAGATGTGCCCCTCGTAATTGCTATAAAGTTCATCTCAGGCGCCATTTCACCCACACTGGCATAGAGAAGAGAAGCTGGCAGCAGGTGACCTCTGAAAGCTGGAGAGCGGCACACACAGCAAGGGTGACCCAGCAACTCATTGAAGAACTACAGGGCAGAACTCTTGTCCTCAAGCTAGTCGAGAATCAAGCGCCACAACAGAAACTGAACAGGACACAGCGCTAATACCCGACAGCCACACGATGATTCGTCATTAATGCCACAGGATAAGTCTACACGCTGCTGAACCATTATACTAGCTCCAATAGTAAGCGTGTCTTGTTTGTTGATATAACTGTCATGTTTCGGACCAAGTATAAAGAAGAACAAACATTTATTACAAAAACTTATCAGCCATTCGTGACTGTCGTTAAATTAAGTTGACCCTAGATACAATAGAATAACTAAATATACTAGGGATAGAAGATAAAGCTTAGCAAATAGTTCATCTTGTGGTCTACAGAGAATGAACAAAGAACAAACATAACGGATATGGAAATGATTCAAAATTTGAAAGTACTTTTCATTTTATTTTCAAGAGTAGGTTTTAATGTTTGCGTCTATTAAAGTCTATTGGATTGCTCGTGATTGCTTTGTTAGAGAGCTAGCAATGATCCGGAAGTCAAAATGTAATCTACAACTTTATTGCTGACTTACGAGGCGCCCTAATGACCCGGATGGCTAGAAATCTTCAAAGGTGAAACGTTGAAGGGAGTTAAACTTGCACTGACACACATTTATAGCAAATGACCTAAATAGAGAATCATTAACATAAATAGAAATGTTTAGGGCTAAATATAACAAACATACACGTTACATTAAAACATTTAATAATAATAATAATTATAGCAATAATAATAATAATAGAATGTACAATTATTAACTAATCACAGTTCACCTTCACCAAACAAATAAATGCAACTTTAAGACAGAAACAAAATTGATAGTTCAGAGCCTACGACAGGGGCGGACTGGAGGTCAAAATCAGCCCTGGCATTTCTTAACAATCCGGCCCATATAATGTATATCATAATGATATAAGATAATATAGGATATATCAACTGCCTACACTTTTCCTTCAACCAATGTCAGGTACCCATTGGAGCAAGGTGGATCCCGAAATTAAAAACCAAGTATCACTTAAATTAGTATTACACTGTAAAAGATTTTTTGAACACCAAGCTCAAAAGTGACTTTGTTATAAAAACTCGATTTAGTGAGTGTCATAATGACATCCTTGTGATTCTTTAGGTGCCCTACCGGCCCATTTGGGTACCGGCCCACTCGGCGTTTGTCCGAATGCCCATATAGTCAGTCCGCCCCTGGCCTACGATCAGAATAGGAAGCAAAAAAAGAAAGATAATTAATGTATAAAAATGTATTCTTACAGCCAATACCATACTTTATTTTGTAGAGTCTCTGGTTGTCAATGGTTAAATATTTTTAAAAATCAAAATTAATAGTTTAGAAAAACAAAAACGAGTAAATATACTGGCTGAGTACTTTGGGTAATAAATAAATCATTTACAACAATGTAGAAAACAGTTTGAACTTTCACTATTGCTTGTAGGCCTACTGCTAATACTTCGCTAAAAGTATGCTATTGTATTTATATATATAAATATTAATGTACATATATTTTATGATAAAGTTTTAAAAAATAAATAAATACTCATTGTGTCATAAAGAAAGTTCTGATGATCTGTTTCGGAATCTCCGTGAATTATTAGTTTTTATTTGTGATCTTCAGATCTAGTTGAAAGCCTCCTTGTTTTTAAATTTCCCATTTGACAAGGGAAGACAAGCAGGTGTTGAATTCGACACATTAAATCTCCACTTGCTTTCCCATGTTATTCACACTCCATCTCGTTCTGTTCTTCCTTTTCATTGGTTTGTAGTTCTTTTATACATCTCTCTCCCTCTCTCTCTCTCTCTCTCTCTCTCTCTCTCTCTCTCTCTCTCTCATTTTCAACTCATTAAATTCAAATTTGTATCAAGCCCAAAAGTTGATGCCAACTCTTGATTTCATTAAAAATAAGAGGTTTACAAAAAAAAATAGAAAATGGCGAAGTCCATCCCATTCTAACGTAAGGAAAAGCTCTCACTCGACCACACTGCTCTGTCTTCTGACATAATAAGGTTTCACAGGCTCGTGGTCCGACTGATCTGTTGACACACACACAGAGAAACAACATTACATTGAGAATAGGAATCATTATCAAAGAGTCAAGAAAATAGGGTTAGCTTTTAAATTAAACACGTTCGCTTATT